AAAGATGGTTATGGAGGTGGAAAATCAGGAAGAAAAGGGATAGACAGACATATTCTTCGTGATGTTGATCCAATGGATTTTAAAAAATTAGAATGAGTTGATAAAATATTACAATATTTTTTAGTTTATAAAAATGTTCGCAAAGAACTTGATAAATTTTTCTTTGTCAGTCTTGAACTAGATAGAACCTTGGGATATGAGGATGAAGAAGAGGAAGAATAACCTCTAAAATATACTATATAAACTATGTTGAATTTTAACGAAGTGATGCAAAAACTTCGGAAGCCAAGAATGGTAGATGCGGAAACGCAAACGGAGCTTAGTTATCATGATCTGCATCGAATGGATGTAGCTGAACAGGGAATTAAGGAACTGATCCTGAAAAGTGGTATGTTTGCTGATAAAAAAAAAAAAAAAGATGAAATTATTTTTACCCTCGATGTAATCGAAAGGGGAATAGCACATTTAAAAGAGGATAAAGAACATAATAAAGACAACGGTAAAGAATTAGAGAAAAGGATAAAACTGCTAGAGCAAGACCTTAAGTCGGGAAAAATAGCAGAGGAGAACTTAGAAGCGAGGTTAAAGGAGTTGGAGAAAATGGGGCAAAAAAAAGAAACTGAGTTTCAGAAAACTTTAAAAATAGAAAAGAAAGAATGGGAGAGGATTACAGCAGAATTGAAAAAAGATTATGAGAATAAAACCGAGGAGCAAAAAGAAATTATTGACGATAAATTGGCAATAATAAAAGAATTAGAATTAAAATTTGAAGACCGAGAGGAACAAATAAGAGCTCTTAACAAAGATCAAGGATTAATTGAAATACAAATGGGAGTTATTAAACGAGATAAGGAAAGAATCGAGAAAGAACTTTTTGAAAAAGGAATACAGATAGAGAATCTAGATATAGAAATAAATACTTTTACTAAAAAACAGAGTTATTTATTAAGACACCTTGATGAGTATAGAACTTGACCTTTCTTTTTAATAGATACTAACGATAAAAAAGAAGGTATTTGAAAAGAAATGATTACAAGAAAATTTGAAAGCAATAAATATATCTATCCTTCTAATTATTCTCATGTTTTCAATAAAATGTTTGTTTTTATTTTAAAAGAAAGCAACAAAGAAGAGGAAGTTTTTGATTTTTCTGAATACTCTAAATATTTTTCTGAAAATGATAAAAGGATTTTTTATCAAGAAAGGAGTTTGGGTAGAATAGAAAGTGCTGAGAAAATAAAAGATATTAAAATAATGAAAAAAAAGATTATTGGTTTGATTAATAACTGAAACTCTAATAGGGGATTTTTAACTGAGACTGTTGGGATGGAAGGCGAAAGAATTTTTTTATTCAAAAGGAGTAACTATTATGACAAGGATGTTATTGGTGGTTTAGCAAGATTTTCAGCAGAATATCCAAATCCAATCAATAAAGGTTATCTTAGTCCAATTTCAGCAACCCACAATTACAAATTAGGAGCAACTTTTAATTTCGATTATAAAAATAAAAAAAACATTATAGAATTAACTTTTAAATACTAATGAAAAACATTTATACTTTTGAGGAATTAAGTCAAAAAGAAAAAAATAAAGAAAGATGTGCTTTTTGTGCCAAGACAAATACTTCTGCTTATTGACTACGAATCCGCCGAATAAGGGATAAGCGTTTAATGTCCATGGATTATATTTGTGATGACTGTAAAGTTAAATTTGTTAATGATGAATTGAGAAAATGCGGAGAATGTGAAAGGATTTATAGGTGAATAGACCAAGTTTGTAAATGTGCTTATCTTAAAAGTATTGGTGATGATGATGAAAACACTGATGAAGAAAAAAAACCTAGTAAAAGTTCTCAACTAGAACATCAATTACATGAATTATCCCTAAAAAAAGAGGAGTTAGAGGATGAACTTGAAACTGAAAGGGAAGCTCACTTAGCCGGAGTAGATGCTACTGCTAGTTGGTATAAAAGAGAACACCGAAAAGAGTTAGAAACTCTCGAGGAAAAACGGAGGAGGTTAAGTAATGAAAATAAGAAACTTAAAACCAAAATAGCCGAATTAGAGGAAGCATTAAATAAATATCAAACTAAATTAGAAAATATAACTACTCAAACTTTTGATATTTTAGATATTCCATCTCAGCAAGAAGCCTTTCAAGAACAACCTCCTAAAAATTAATAAAATAATCATATGAGAAAAACTACAAGAACTTTTGTTGAAGTAGAAGAGTGAATTAAGAGAAGATGTGATATTTGTTACGGTGAACCACCCCCATCTTCTACTCATACTCTAAATATTAGAAATATAGAAACCAATGTGCTTATTTCTCGTACTTATTTGTGTCTTGAATGCAAAGCAAAAATAGAAAACAACCAATTTAAGGAGTGCAGAATTTGCGAAAATATTTTAAAAAGAGGAGAAAGACTTGTGGGTTGTTGTTTTTGTTGTGAGTTTGAAAAAAAAGAAGAAAAAGGTAAAATAAGAGTAGAAAGTCATGCTGTCAAACTAGAAAAGCAACTTTATAAACTGAATTTAGAGCATAAACAATTAGAAAAGGATCATGTAGAAGGCATAGAAGCAACTATGGAAGCCACTGCTAATTGATATAAGCGAGAGCATGAAAAAGAGAAAGAAGAATTAACAGATAGAATAAAAAATATAGAGGGAGAAAACTCGAATCTGAAAAAGCGAATAACTGAATTAGAGTTGGAAAATGCAAAATTAAAAGAAGACATTCAGTACCAAATGAACTACTCCCACTTAATCCTTTCGGATTTGAAGATGGGAATTTCGTAGAGGTTAACTAATCTAATTAGAATTAATTAACATTACAAGGCTATATTCTCTCCGAGAACAAAGTTCCTAGCCTTAATTTGCTTATTCCTTTAAAAAGGATGTTTTTGGAAGCATTGACATCTCTATCTAAAACATTATCACAGTTGGGACATTCAAACACTTCTTTATTTCCTAAATCTTTATTAATCTTTCCACATTTACTGCATTTCTTGCTTGTATTATATGGACTAACAAATTCAATTCACTTACCAGTTTCCTGCACTTTGTAAGTGGTGAATATTGCTAGTTGATATCAACAAGATTTCAGCATGCCATCTCTGGTTCATCTGCCTACTTTCTTGTTTTCTTTGCTAACCATCTTGCTACTCTCTAAATTTTCAAAAACCACTAAATCATTCTTATTTACTAATTTCCTAGATAGTTTGTGATTTCTATCTTTCATTCTATTACTCACTCTTTGGCATAATCTCCTTAATTCATCTCTAATTTTCTTTCAGTTATTACTGCCTTTTATTCTTCTGCTTAATAATTTACAAAGTTCAATATACCTTTTTCTTATTTTATCCCAATATTTAGGATTATAATATTTCCAGCCATCACTATTAGCAAATAGTTTTCTAACTCCTCGGTCTATCCCCACTGCTCTTTTTATTTCAGACTTGAGAAGTTTAAGAGGAAGTTCTATATCGGAGGCAATATTTAGTTTTCAACTATCTTTTTTAAAAGAAATAGTTATGATTTTAGGAGTTCCTTTTAGAGGGTTAGTTAACTCGAAAGGGATAGTTATTTTAGGTTGATATTTGTTTTCTCACTTGCCCTGAGATAAAAACAACTGATTATCCTTAATTTGGTATCCATCTTGGTAAACTGAAAAACTGTCATGCCATCCTTTATCAGTTTTCATTCTTGGATAATTTGTTTTTGGGAATAATTCTTTTCTTTCTTTATACTTTTTTCAAGTATTAGGAAGTCTCCTAGAAACAACTTCTTGCAAGGTTCAAGCACAGATTTTATTTAGTCAGGGATGTTCTTTTTTCAATTTTGTTAACTCTATCTGTTGCTTTTCAGAAGTGGATTGTTTTTTATCTTGTTTATCACATTCAATTCTTTTGTCTAGAAAATAGTTATAAACAAAACTACAACCTTTCGAAATAAACCGGAGTTGCTTTTTGGTTTCAGAAGTGGATTTAAGTTCTGCTTGATAAGTTAAAGTTAGATGTGCCATAAATATTCAACTAACCAACCGAGGCACATCTAAATACTTTCGATTGGTTGGTTCAATAATTATAAAGTTATTTTAGCAATTCACCCTCCACTTAATCTTGTGATTTGAAATGGAGGCACTCTTGCTTGGACTATGGTAGAACAATCGCCTAAATAGCATGACCAAACAATTAAATATGATTATTACTGAGATAGACTCGGAATAATGCTCTTTTTTTAGAGTTTTGAACTACTTGTCAGTAAATTTCTTTGTCATAAAAAATTTGACGGAGACATTGACTGCATCATTCTTGATCTTTGTATTTTTCATTTTCAGTTCAGTAACCCCAGTTATTCTTTTTGCTATAATTTTGTTGGGAGATGACAAATTTAATAAAAAAGGTCTCGCTGCATTGCGAACATTTTACTTTTTTGGACTGCGGAAAACTATTTTTGAGAGCATTATTTGCTTCTATGGTTACTGCTTTTTTGTACTTATAACTAGGATTATTTTTTAGTTTCATATTTTTGAAAGCGAGCATTATATTCCTTAGTCTCCTTCAACTAGAGAACCGAGTTTTCTTTCTTTAACCACTTTTTTTAGTTTTTTAATAATTTGCTTTTTCATTTGCCTAATTGCATTTTCTGATTTGTCTAACAAACTAACCAACTCAGAAGCTTTATGCTTTTTTTCAAACATTTTCAAATACTTTTTAGTCACCGATAAATTACTATTTTTGGTTTGTTCTAAAAAATAATTACGAAATAGTTCTGGAGTGAATTTGCCACTTGATTTAATCATCTTTTTTAATACTTTTTGCTCCTCTTTGGTAGCTAAATGATATATATCAAGTAAATTGGTTGGCACTATTTTATACCATAATCTAGCCAATAAAATTTCTTCTCGATCAATCAGCGAATTAATAGCATTATTGACTTGAATAGACACATCCCTTTGATGAACCTGTTGTAAATCAAGATTAGAATTTTCATTATCGTTCAAACTATCCTCCAAAGAATAAGACTGCTTATCATCACCATCATCTTGAGAGTTAGTATCATAGAAAACTATATTTTTTCTGTTTTCTGGTTTGGGACTTTGCTTAACAACCTGATTTTGGTTAATAAATGTCTGAAAGAATTGCTTAACCCAATACATAGCATAAGTTGAAAAACGATACTTGACATTCATATCAAATTTTTCTATCGCTTTTGGCAAAGAACTAACTCCCTCTGAGATTAGGTCATCATGTTCAAATTTTCCTTTGAGCGAATGATAACCTTTGGCAATATATTTAACTATTTTTTGATTATAATAAACTAGTAAACGAATAGCATTAATTTTCGCTTTACCTTCTCCTTCTTTAGCTATTTTTAATAACTTTCTTTCTTGTTCATAAGTAAGATTGGCAACTTTTTTTGGCATGTATATATATTTTTTGACAAAAAATATAGTATAATGAGTAACCTTGCTAAATTTATTGAAACTAATCAAGAATTAGTAAAAGAGTTAAAAGAACTAATTATCCCTTGAGATATACCGGAAGATTTTAGGTTAGGAGATGGTAAAAAAATTACCAAAAAAGATTTCGGTTATTTATTAAAGATTCAAGGAACTCTTTTAAGTGGAGATGAAGAAGAAGTACGATTAGGAAGCGGTGAAGTTGTATCGAATGCCTTTATTAAAGCCTTAGAACAAAGAGTTAGAGACATAATAGATAAAAATTGGGACACTTGATCTGAAAGTGGTATCCTTGTGCAAGAAATAAACAATTTATCATCCAGTTTTACCCAAGCGGGTTTAACCAATACCCATGATTTACTTTATTCCTTGGGAAGTAATTTAGACAATATTGTAATTGAAATTAAAAAGGGGCAGACTGGAGAAGTCGAAAATGATTGAAGTTTTGCCAATCAAGAAGGTGATGAACTTAATGAATTAGAATTGCCCATTTGGGATTCTTTTGTTAAAGTTATTTTTCAAGCTAGTTTAGTTTTAGATCTAATTGTTAATAAAGAATATGAAGATGCAAAAACACAATTAGAAATTTTAAAAACTTGTGAAAATGAAGCCATACCTAAATTTATAAATATTCAAAGTAATCCTGAAGCCAAAAGCAAATATCCCACCTTAGCAAAATATATTTCAGAAGACTTTCAAACTTATTCTCAAGTGCTAGAAAGAAGTTTAGATTTAAGTGAATCTCGAGAATGGCAGAGTAAATCCGGTTCACATGCTTCGCATATTCCTCCACCTCTTTCTTCCAAGTCCGGTTTTGAAACCTTCGATGATTTTTCTCTTCATAGCGGATACTCAAGAAAAAGTTCAAAATCAGGTTCAGATTCAAGTGGAACTTCTATGGCAACAGCTAACGAAGAAAGTTTTAAGCATATTTATGAATTAGTAATAGGCAAAGAGATAAGCGAAGAAGAATGAGATAACAAACGATCATTCGAAGTACTAAAAACTATTTCAGAAAAAATAAAAGAGTTGCAAGCGAAAGAGGTTAGTGAAAAAGAACCAGATAAGAAAATAGAACTTATTACCGAGCAAGAAGAACAAGAATACAATGAAATAAAAAATGTTGATGAATCCAAAGTTTTTCTTGATAAGATTAGATCTAAATTCCAAGAGACGGGACAAACCTTGACTTTTAAGATTTTAGAAGAATTAATCATTGAATATCTTGAACTTTTAGAATTTTCGAAGAAATTTAAAACAATGTTTGAACAAAAATAAATGACTGCTTTAAACAAGACTGCTTTTTTATAATTTCCTAAAAATATAACATAATGAAAGAAAACAAAAGAATAGCAAAAGAGGTCTTGGAATCTATAAAAAAACTCGAAGCAATTCCGGAAATAGCAAAAAAAGATGCCTCAACTCAAACCGAATTAGTAACTAGATCTATTGGAGTTCAAACAGATGCTATAAAAACAAAAGGCAGAATAACGAAAGAAAAAGAAGAAGTAGAAATAAAAAAAGAAAACAAATTAGAAGAATCTGTTGAGACTTATACTGAACTAAATCCGATAGTGGGTTTCACTAAATTTTAAAGTTATGCGTGAAATAAGAAAGCAAATCTACGAAAACTTCAACCAAACTATAAAACAAATCGAACCAATCGAATTTTTAAATTCAACTGCCAAAGAGCAAACCGATAAGAATATTGAGGAATTTAAAAAAAAACTAAGTGATCATGCTACTGAAATCAAGCAATTGACCGGTTTTAAAGAAGAATTAGAAAAAATAAAAATGTTGCTAAGCATGGAAACTAAGCAAAAAGAGGAACTGATAGCAAAAAACAGAGAATTGGAGACCTCATATACTTCTGAAACCAAAGAGTTGAATAATAAAATAGACTCTTTGAATCAATATTTGGAAAATACTTGTACTGAACTAAAGACTAGAAATGAAGCCAAAACTAAATTGGAAGAAGAAATAGAACGGTTGAATGAGAGACTAACCTTTGGTTTAGATGATAAAGAGGAGTTAAATTCTTCTCGAAGGAAATTAGTAGAAAAAAATAAAGAACTAGAAACTAGCAATCAAGAATTAAAATTAATAATTCAAGAAAGGGAAAAAGAACTTTTATTAGTTAAACAAGAAACCGAAAAAATTAAAGAAAATTTAAAAAATATTCAAAATATAGATACCAAACTAAAATTGGCGGAAGAGGAAGCGACTTATTGAAAGAAAAAAAAGATCAATTCTTTCGATCCTAACCTTTATGATTTTGAACTAGTCGAAAATGTAAAAATTGCCAAACCTTTTCTAACCGAAAAAGGATTGCATAAAACTTACAGTTTATTAGAAGATGCTACCAAAAATTTAGTCGAAGTATATTCAGCAGTAGAAATAAATAATCCTGATCATACTGTAATTAATAAATTGAAAAATCAATACCGAAGACTATCTATAAAAATAATCAAATATGAGTCTGCTGGAAGGAACACAAGCGAACTTCAAAATTGAAAAAATGAGCGAGAGGAAATAAAAAAGAGGAGGGATGGATTTTTGAGTTGTAACAATATCCTTTCTAAACAAGCGGAATTGGTTAAAAGTTGGAGTGATTGAAAAGATTATTTAGTTATTGAAAAAGTAAAAAGAAAAGATCTTGAGGGGATTGAAAGGGAAAAAGAGGATTATAAGTGAGTTAACTAATGAACAAAATTCAACCAAACAACTGTCGTAAACAAAAAATGCTTTTGGAAGAAACTCATGAAGAAAATAATAAACTGTGCTTAAAATATACTTGTCCTAAGTGTAAAAAAACTATTTTCAGTCTTGAAAGCAAGCGACCAAAAACAATAACTTTAAATTTGACAGTAGCCCAATATGAGAGTTTGATGTCTAGTGTTGGAAATGTTCTTCAGATAATGCACGAGAGCAAAAGAAACAATAATGACAAACAAAAAGACAATTTACCCAGAGTTAGAAAAAGACAAAATTAGCGAAAAAATTAAAAGGATAGTTAGAAGTTTGCCTCGCGAATTATTTGTAAGTGAAGAATTAAGAGAAGAAGCTTACAATGACTACCCTTTACCAATCGGATGTGAACAAACTATTTCTCAACCTTCTTTAGTGGCTTACATGACTGAAGCATTGAACCTTGAAGAAACAGACCGAGTTTTAGAAATCGGAACCGGAAGCGGATTTCAAGCTGCAGTACTAGCAAAATTAGTCAAAGAGGTTTATACTGTTGAAATCTATGATGATTTAAGCAAAAAAGCAAACAGTTTATTAAATCAATTAGAATTAAAGAATGTCAAATATCTTGTCGGAGATGGCAAGAAAGGTTGGAAAACTTATGCTCCTTTCGATAAAATTATTGTTACTGCTACTGCCGAAGAAGTTCCATTTCAATTAGTAGAACAGTTAAAAATAGGTGGAAGAATGATAATTCCGGTCAAAAAGAAATCAAAAGAAGGAGAATGGTTAATGCTAGTTGAAAAAACAAAAGGGAAGCCAAACAATCCAAATGCAGAATTCATAATTACCAAAGACCTTATTCCGGTCAGATTCGTGCCACTAACTTAAAATAATTATATGGAAATATATACAATACTTTTGATACTTTTCACCTTGACTTGATTCGGTTTTGCCATTTGAACATTAATAGAGTGAGTTGAATTTAAAAAAGAGGAAAATCAAACAATTAGGCATTTTATAGGTAAAAAAGAAATTGGAAAAAAACATAAATTTTCTGAGCGAGAAAAATGCGAAATTTGCTTGCATATATTCAAAAAGTATGATAAACAATAAAGAATGCTCACACTGCAACCATTCTAGCGATTGTGAAAATAATTGTCAACATGAATGCTGTCGCGAAAGAGAACTCATGCTTGAAAAAATAAAAGAAGACCATTTACTAGGCAAAAGAACTTTAGAATTGAATTATAGCATTTGAGTTCAAAAATTAATGACTAAACAAATTAAAGATACTTGTGATTTTTGTAATGAATGAATCAAACAAAATAGTAAGGCGATGCAAGAGAGGCATGGTTAACTCACACTACAAAACTCCTGCTTTTTTTTAGGTCGGGGTAGTTCATTTTAGGTTATCAAATTTCTATTGATATAAATAGTTAACAATGCTCTTTTTTTTAAATTAGTAACTATTCTTCAATATTCTTTTTTATTATGATAAAGTTCTTTTAAACACTTATCACAAATATGTTTCTCTTCATCCTCTTTTTCCTCTGTTCAAAAATCTAAATTATTTTTGTGACTATAAGCTTTTTTTGGGCGGACATATTTAAGAGAAAAATTATTAAAACATTTGAAGCATCTCACTAAATCAGTTATTTTTTTTGTTTTCATCTATTTTATGATATAATTAATTTTATAGTTATTTAATTTACAAATAAGAATTTTAGGCAATAAATCAACTTACAAAAATATCAACATTGTTATACCTTGATGATAATTCTCTCAATTTCATAGGCAACAATTTAAATAACTATAATTAAATAACTATAAAATATATATATGAACAAGTTTAAACAAAAAATACTACAATATGAATTGGTTCACTAATCTATTTAAGGGTAAAACTAAACAAACTAAAATGGTTGAAAAGGATAATAGGAAATTCCGTGAACTTTATGCTCACTTGAATTATCTAATCCAAAATGAGGGCAAAAATAAATCAGAGGCTCAATTAGAAGTTCTTCAAGAGGTTATTAAAGAGTTTAACCTCGACCGGCAAAGAATAATTGAACGCTATGAGAGAGATAGGAAGCAGTACAAAGAACAAGAAGAGCAAAGGCATATTAGTTTTGTTAAATCAATGAAAGATAGCGATAAATTGAAAAATCAACTCTATCTTATGCTAGATGTTTGCAAACGTGAACTAGAAATAATGAAATTAAACAAAGGTTTAAGTTTAATTGCACTGCCTGATGACAGAGAAGTGATATTGAAAAAAATTGGCGAGTTAAATAAGATCAACAGTGAAATCGAAAAAGTCCTTTTGAACAAAAAGATTGATGCGAAAATGTTAGAAGAAATCAAGGAAAGATTACATTTGAATGACTATCATGGATAAGAGGGAAGACAAATTAAAACAAAAAATTAGTCAGATTCTAGAAGACTACCAAGAAAAAGAAAAGGGAGAATTTGCTAAATACGTTAAAGAGCATGGTTCTGAATTAGAACGCGAATTGTTAGATTTGGTTTTTATTCAAGAAAAGGTATTCCGTGATAGCAGACTATTAATTGAAAAATTGAAAAAACAAAATTTTCTTTTACAAAAGGAAAACAAGAGAAAAGATCATTCAAATTATATCCTCACCATTCTAGCTTGAGTTTTTACCGGAGCTATGTTTAGTGCTTTCATTTTTAGTTTTAGCACTTGAATAATTTTAATGAAAAAGTAAATTAAAAATGACAGATTTAATAATATTAAAAGATAAACAACAAAAACAGATTGATTATTATTTTGAGCAATTAAAACATACTGAAAACTGGATGCCTAAAAAAAGATTAATTATTTTAGAGGCTATGTTCAGTATTTTCCGTTCTCAAAAATATGATTTGGATGAAGGAAGATTAGATGCCAATTTTGAAATAGGAGACAGTGTCCAATTTTACCGACTGAAATATTTTGCTTATCTCCATAACCAAGATAATTTGGTAGGGATAGCTAAATGAACTCTTAGTTTAATTAGTGAGATGAGACATTATGAACGTCAAAGAAGAACAGATATAAATCCAAGAGAACTGACACATATAAATAATGATCTAGAAAGACTATGAGAAAAAATGAGATGAATGATTGGGAATAAGTTGGGGTTAAATGAAGATGCTGTTAAGATTTTGGTTAATGGAGATCGAGAACAATTAAGGAGAGTTAGTATTAACCGTCAAGTAGAACAAGCTCATATCAATTTTATTAATGTTTTAAAGAATGATACTCGCACTAAATTAGCTATCTTGAAAGATGTATTTAGAACTAATAGTGGAATGGTTGACTTGACCGATAATGCTCTTGAACTAATTGAAAGTGCTGAGACCCATCAAGAGATAGAAAAATTATATGAAGACCATTTATGAGAACTAATTGATAATAGTTTCCTCTTAATGGAAATTGATTATTTTGATAGTGCTAAACTTTACCAATTTTTAAGTAGCATGACTAAAAAAGTCCGTAGAAGCATTTATATCTATGATGAGAATGAAGAAAATAGGCATCCCAAACAACCCGAATACCGCGAATTTATTGATAACAAATTAAATGGCAAAGAAATCAGTGAACTCTTTTTTGATAATCGAATACTCACTACTCCCCCTCGGAAGCAGACTTTGCTGGAAATGTATCAAGCATCACATGAAGCATATAAATTAATAAGTTTGGATCTCCGCAACGAAGAAAAATTATTAAGAGATGCCCTTTTAGAAAAAGATGCCTTAGCACTAGAAGTACAAAATTTATCCGATACTAAACTTACTTACTTTTTAGAACTACGTATTACTCGGCGAAAGTTTAATGAATTAGAAAATACTGCCGAATTATTTTATCTTACTAGTCAAACCGAAATAGAAAGACTAAAACAAGCCTTAACCGAAGAGCAAAATTGAACTTTGCAAGTTTTGGCTACCTCCGAACAGTGAAATAAAGAAAAGTTTGATTCTTTAGAAGAACAAAGGATTAAACAAGAAAATAATTGAGATAAACAGAAAAATAATTTACTAGATATTATTAAAGGTAAAAACTGAGAATTGGATGAACTAGAAGCAGAACAAGAATTATCCGACTGAGAAAAACAAAAACTTTATGATGCTGAAATTGAAAGACTACAAGCAAGGATTAGTGAACTAGAACGACAATTAGCCCAAGAATATGAAGGGTGAGATAATGCCGAGAACCGAATAGTTGGATTACTTAATTTCTTAAAATCTCAATATTTAAAAAATAAGGAGTTGAGGGAGGAAAACTATGACTTGGAAGTATTATTGGAAGAAACTACTAATGAACTAAATGAGAATGAAAATGAAATTAACGTTTTGACTGGGAGGATTAACTTATTAGCCAAAAAAGATAAGAAAATTGAAAAATTAAAGCAGAGGTTAAATAATAAGTCCAAAAAAATAGCAAGAATTCACCAATACTATCAGAACCAAAAACAAAAGCTTTCACAAAAGCTTTTAAATCAGATCCAAAGATTAGCAGGAAAGGTTACTTATTATGAAGAGCAAGATAATAATTTACGCTCTACTATCCTTGAATTACAAACTCAAATAAAAAATCATCGTTGCCCTCCTTCGGTTATTAATCAAGTTAATTGCTCTCATTCAGATTATCAGCAAATTAAGCAAGACAAAGATAATTATTATCAGCAATTAATAGAAAAGGAGCGAATAATTGCCCAACAAAAACAAAGGATTACTGAGTTAGAAAACCCCCCCCCAGTAGTATTAAGTGAAGAAATAAAACAGTCCAATATCCGCTCTCTAAAAGAAATATTAAATATCCCTTTACCGACTGCTACTGAAAGTTTAATTAATACTAGTGCCAATTATGGAACTATTGTCCAAATTAGAGAAAAGTTGATTAAGGAGAAATTAAAGACTGGTCAACAAGAAATACAATCTCTAAGTGAACAAAAAAAAACATTACAAAATTGAAGAATAAGTTTAATAGTCCTTTTACTGATTAGTTTAATTAGTGTAGGAGGATTGTTAGCAAAGATAAAACAATTGAAAAGCAAAAAATATAAGAAATAATATTTATTAAAACATGACCATAAAATGAAATGAATTTAATGTCTGAATAAAGGCAAACCCCATCA